TTTGCACAAACTATTCCAGCCATCTGCTCGACACTTACATTGACATCTTGTGACTCCTTGTACAAAACAGTTGGCGTATGATTGACGTGCCTGCAACAAGCACAGTAATTGCGTCAATTTCAGCCATACGACTGGGGGCTCTTTCGTTGACCCACACTTCTATTTGCTTGTATAAAAGTGAAGTTTTTTCCTATAAACCAGGGAAGAGTGGAAACTCGTCCTTTCAGCTTTGCCATCGTATATTATATATTAGGCTGGATGTCTGTGGTGTGTATGTATTTTCCGAATGAAAATATTTATTTCTGTACCGATCTGAACCATACACTGCACACACGCAAAGGGGAAGGGCGAGTGGGTTGTTATAGGCTGAATTTCGCTATGGTTCGATATGAAAAATCGATTTCTTCGAACTTTGAGCTACGCGGGGGGGGGCTTAAAGGCAGTGTCCTACCAGATTGAGGGTATCTGGCTTTCGTAATGATGTGATAGTAGACCCCTACCTAGGCGATGACTGAAGTTCGGAGCGAAAAAGGGAGTCTACCAAGCCTGAAATGTGCGCCGAAAGTGGGCCGTATCTTAGGGTAGGGCCGGACGCCGCCCACACGGCAATATCGATTTGCAGGGCCAGGGCGGGTATAGCGCGCACATCATGAGTGCAGGGACCCGCAACGACTCTGCGTCTCTACCTTGCATACGCCTCGCACTCGTCCGATCCTACCGTAAGATTCGGCCCAATTTCGGAGCAAATTTCAGGCTTGGTAGACCCTCTTTTTCGCTCCGAACTTCAGTCATCGCTTAGGTAGGGGGTCTACTATCACATCATTACGAAAGCCAGGTACCCCCAGTCTGGTGAGACGCTGCCTTCAAGGGGGTATGAAGCATGCTAATCACGAACGTACAGGGTATACTGAAGTATGTAGGTGAGACCGGGACAAGAATTTGCCGCACAGAACTAAAACACGAAGATATCTATTATAGTGTAGTAATCACAGGGTGAGGGCGGAGCAGGCCGGGTGTACCAGTTAGTCCGAAATAATCTAAGGCATTGACAAGGTATTGAGCGTAGATGCTGAAAACGACAGCACAAAAAACAACAGAAAAGCACTTTACCGTTTATTTTCTCGTCTTTTGCAACCCCTTGAAGAAATCTTGTAAGGTTTGCAAAACATACAAAACAAATCTGCTTTATTTCCTTTTCGTTTTTCAGTGGTTACAAACTGAATGTGCTGAAGGCGAGCGTCACTGTCGGCTATCTGGCCAATGCAGATTAGTCAGAAAGAAATTTTTAATTTTTTGAATTTCGAACAACAATGCCATAATGCTGGAAGCTGCTTAAGCTGGTTCTACAAATTTTCTACTAAAAAGTAGGGCGGGCTAAATAATTACCCCATTTTCAGGTGTATAAGCCGCGGGGGATTTTTTTCTAAAATCGACCAGCCCAAACAGGCCAGAAGACTTCGCAACCAAATGACCCTATACCGTGCTACGTATTGCTTTGAAGAATCGTGCGGCATAAGAATCGCTTTCTGAAACATAGTGAAGCGGCTGAGCGGCTCGTTTGAAAATTTGAAAAAGTGCGGCTTATACATCTGAAAATGGGGTACTGAATAGTTCTCAATCCTTTTTTACAATGTCTTTCAGTATGGCGCCGAAAATCTTAAGACTTGAGATCCGGTCATTAAAAATGCTGAACGATATAACTGAATCACAATTTAAGTCTAATTTGATTTTATGACCTGCTTTCTAACAACAAAATTTCGGTGATCGGATATCTCCACGAAAATTCACAGGGTGAGCCAATAGCGGTAGTTTGCACCAGTGTCTCACGGAAAAACAACTGAGAAATGTATTTTCGAATTCATTTCTTAGAATGCATTAATTAAACTCTGCTTCTGCAAAGAACCTTTTATAGTAAGAAAACCGTTTTTTAGAATGTGAAAATCAAAAAAAATCAGTTTAAAAAAGCATGACTGGAATTTTTTCTACTCTTACTTGCTCTGTAATCAAATGAAATCAAAGCCTTTATAAATTATTCCAAACAAAAAGTTATAGGGCACACTTTGCACTACCAAATTATAACTGCACTTGCAAAAAAATTGCTTTCCAAGTTTTCATGCAGAATATGTTAGAAATGAAGGCTTGCTCTACTTTACTGCACATTTTCAAAGCAAGAGTAAAGGTTTTCGAAAACAATAAAGTTGTGTCTGCATACATGATACAGTCCTGCTGACGAGGGGATCTCAGATTTTTTTAAATTGAGGCGGCAAGTTGAGATTTAACTATTGCATTAGGATGTTAATGACTGATAAAAATCGAGGCATCCTTGATCCTTCGCCAGGCCTGTCTTGTACATCTCTGGCACCCAAGGAAACACGCGCGTGTAATTTTGGCACATCCTTGCATGTATTCGAAGACTAGTACTTCTTAAAGGTTCGTAAAAACTTATGCGGCAGATATGATAGATAACTTAACACACTTTTTTTGCGTTTAACTGTTTACTGAACTGTATAGGCGAAGTCAATTCGTTTTTTGTAACCTAGCCATAAAAAAGTATATGCTCAACTACTAGTATATTCTCACTATGTACTGACGTAATTGAATGAAAATGGCTTGATAAAACTTTTCAGCGAAGATCTTACGTTTTTGCTTTAAATTTCAAATTTTGGCTTCAAGTTTCAAGCAGATCATGATTGATGCAGTTATTTGGATCTCATACAAAATCTCTCTCTCTCAGCTTGCTTCAACAAATAATCTAATGAGTTTGTGCTGTTCGTCCTGCCGCGGTAGCAGATGTACATTATTCAACTTTTCATAAGGGACGTTATCGATATCTGCAAATTTTATGCTTACCAGCCGTTAAGGTGCCATTATTCGGCGATAAAATCATCGATATTTTCGAGACTATAAAAGCGTGTTTGTTCTGTTCAGTCTTGTGAAGGGATTCAGACTACTGTCTTCTGAGACTGTAGATGCAGAACTGCTTGTAATCTTGTGCTCTAGATTTGAACGTGAAAAAAAGTGCAAAAGCAAACAAATCGTTAAAGAAGGTCAACAGGATTTTACTTCGTAATTTGGCCGGGATACCCGACTTCGCTTGGCCCTGCTTACACACCATAAGCCTTCCTCACCTTCCTTTGCTTTCAGTAATAATTTCCTGTGGTGTTCCACTTTTATATGCCAATTCCTTGCCCTCATTATTTTCCTAATCAGCATACCCTTACATCGTCACTTATCTTGCTATGCGGACTCAAAGTTCCGCAGCTCAAAGTATACAAAAAACCAATTAAATCCTCAAAGTAATGTGTGAATTGCAAATTTTGCTTTATTAGTATTGAGCAAGCTCACTCACGCCCTACCAAATCCAATCTTGTAGCTTGAGTAGGCAAAAAAACGATTGAAATTGATCTGAGTAGCGCACGATACCGCCAAATGTGCATGTTTGGTTGGGATATCGCTTTATACATGGAATTCTCCAGCCGAAACATACATATCTGGCGTTGACCGCACAAACTGCTCGAACGCTGCAGACAACGCACGGAGCTGCTGAAAGGTTGCGAGAGCACAATTTGTACATTGGCGAATTTGTACTGGGGCAAGTGTTCAAACTTTTAGCGCGTGCTCCGCAGTGATCTCCATTCAGGGTCCGGCACGAATTGGTTCCTAGACAAGAAAAGAGTATAGAGTAAAAATCCGAAGTGGAGCTGATTACTTTGCATGCACAAGAGTTTGACATTGGAGCGCATTATCTAAGAAGGCGATTTATGAAGAAATTTCAGGCAAAAGTAAAGGAAAGGCAATGATATGAAAATGTCTTTGTGGTCATGGACAGATTTTTGACCTTTAGCTTGTCAGAAGATAAGGGTAAAATTATATGAAAAAATCCACTTTTAACAAAAAGTTCAACGCTTGTGTGCATCGTGTACAGTTTGATACGCAAAATTTTACAGATTTCTGGTCTTTCCAAAAAATATTGCCCTCGTCAAAATGCGAGTATGTACTAACATGGCGCACAGTCGTCAGATGAACATGTGTAGACATGATTGTACCATCCTCCCATTCGATAATATAAAGCACTAGTTGACTTACCCGGCTCCGCCCGGCCCTGTCATTATTATATTCGTAATCAGCATGCTCGATTACCTTTTGTGTCAACTCCCAGCCCCGTAGCTCAAATTTTGAAAAAAACGATAAAATCGATATCGATCGATGACGAAAAGTAGCCTATGACACCCGCCGGGGCCCGAAGTGTATTTGTGCCAAGTTTGGTCCGGATCGGTTCAGAAATGGAATTTTCTATTCGGAACATACATACACACATACAGACAGACATACAGACATACAGACAAACAGACATTCAGTTACATATATAAGATACCCTGCACGGTCACCATTGCTTTCCGCTCTTTCACGCGAAAGAATGCCAGCTCATTAGAATTCCCACAATGCGAAAGAATGTCAGCTCATTAGTACTCCCACTCAAAGACGGTGTTTTGCGGTGCACGGATACGAATGTCACGCTGACAATGGTTAAACATCTGCAACTCTAAAACACGAGTTTGAAAGAAAGCTTCTGAGCTTTTTGATTGTTAGAAACAGTGTAGCAGAACCGCTAACTTTATGCAGATGAGCATGCTTGAAGGCAGTGGCTAAACTGCAAGTTTCAGCAATTGCACTTCTGTTCCTCATTGGCCTTCTAGATGCCTTTAGATCAGAGCTGTGCTTGAAAAGTCAAAAAGTGCTTTTTATGACGTTTTCTGGCCTTGGAATGCAGAAGAAGCTGGAGCGGGGATTCCCGCAGCCGAGTCGCGATTGGCTGCTTGAGCCAATCAGGCAATCCGCCAAAATGAGTGGTGTCACAATCCTCTACAACCAGTCGCTGTCATTGGCGGTTTCTTGCACAGCTGCAATTTTCCCGAGTCACTGCTTTGTCCCTATGACAGATTGTAGCTTTATAAGAGTAAAACGAGAAAAAAAAACAGAAAAACTTCTTAACTTTTCAGGGCGGCGGAAGCTTTGGATGTGCGTGTCACGACAATCCGAGGACGCAAAACAGTCCGATGACCACTGGAATGATGTTTTGTTTTTTTTCTCCGATTTTTTTCGATGACGAGTCGAGTCATACTTGCGAAAACGGATTTGTGAAATTGGTTAAGGAAACGCCAACCTCTTGTTAAAGCGTAAAGTCTTCAGCATGCATCGTATTTTCTCTTGTACACATCAGACGACAAGTGGAGCCAATATTCCTGGTTACGTTATTCGAGCAAGCATTGCCGCACGGTACTTCATGTCATCTGAAAATAAGACACCCTGCTCGACTTTCGAGAAAAACATCTGCATTGCGAACTGGGTTTTAATGTACACTTGAGTTGTCTACCAAGTTTGATAACAAGGCTTTATTATCAGTCAATAAGCCGTACAACGCGTCGGGCGTCTACAGGGACTCCTGAAAGATGTATATTGAAGATCTGGCTTCTTAAATCCTTGTTTGGCAATAGATCTAGTCTAATCAAGCGATGGAGTGCCAGTAAATGTTGAAAAGCCTGACACGGTCGAGCTGCGACTGTCGCAAGGGGGTCGTAAATGCGCAGCATCTATCGTTCTAGATCACTCTGAAACCAATTTATCATCCTTGAACGTTAAAGGTCTTGATTGGCGAGATCGTATGTCTTGGTCTTTGTTTGCCTCTGTCTCAAGTGGGCCTCAGAAACTCCATCATATTCATATATCCCAAGTAATAAATAAGAATAAAGGACTCGGCGTCTTCAATACCCTCATCGGGCAGGCCAAAACGCATGTTACTTCATAGTCGAAGAGGCGACTGAAAGCGTGCGAGCCTATTATAGTGACTTGCGGGAGCCAGCCGATTACCAAATCAGTGCTTTTATCCTCAGATCGCTCTGATACCAATTTACCGTCCCGATGAAAGAGTGCTTGGTTAACCCAGGAGCGGAAATCGAGTCTAGGTTTGATCTGGTCATAGCGGCGCCTCATATCACTACGCCATTAGTCCCCAACATCCCAGTTGCTGCTCTCAAAAAAAAAAAAAAAACTTAGCCGTAATCGAAGAATTTGCAGGAATGCCGATTGTATTATCTGACCGTCTGGAAAGTCAGGCCTTTGCATAAAATTAGGAATACTTTCTCTCAAGATGCGGTGATCAGTGAATACGAGAAACCGGCACACCCTTGTGCACAAGAACTGGGGAGCATCTTGACTGCCTTAAGAAGTTTAAGATGTCCACAGCTTTTTGTGCACATCGAAAGCTATGTTATGCTAGCCAGTATTTTAACGTGGCTTTCAACGGAAGGTACAAGTCCGATATTGAGGCACAGGGCAAACATGAAAGTTTCGCAAAATTTACGGTCTAAACAAAAGGTTCATCTATTATAATCGTGGATATATTGAAGCCCCAGTTTGGACTTCTGCCCCACACAAGCGGAGGCCTCGTGGCCGCTTCTACCTTTTGTCGATTTTTTCGCTCTGGAATTTGTCTTTTATAACAACACATAAGGTGATGCTTGATTAGAGGCCCGCTATTATATGGCATCAAAACTCATTACTTTCATTTTGGGTGGACGATGACTATGAATAGCGAGTAAAATTGATTTAGAATAGGCACTATGAGTCGTAACCGCTTGCTTTGTAGTGACGATGTCCGCGGCCGTTAACGAAACAACACCTTAGAAACACCTCCGAATTCTCGAAGACGCCAGAGCCTGACTGCATCGACCTTTCGTTTCTTATGTAGCGTAGTAAAGGCATATATTAAACTACTATCGACATTTCTAACTGCTATGCTCGATAAAGGTTGCGCATGGCTCCCCTTTTCTTTCATAACCATAAACATTGCAGTGAGGCTCGGTAAGGTGGCTTACGGGGCAAGTTGTATTATCGGAAAAACAAAGGTGTCGTTATAGAAAGTCTGGAGAGGAGCTCCAAAAAACAGTTTTTTTACGTTTTCTCGTTCGCGCAGGATTCGCCACTTTTGTGAGTCTCCTCCATTGTTATTGTTGATGTTTGGTTTTCATTTATTCCAAACTCTCTCAGGTCTGATTGGATTTTGTCTATCCATCTCAGTTCTGATCTTCTGCTTTTTGGCGTTTGTGAGCTTTTAGTGATAAGACGCACATAGTCATGAGGCTTTCTCTCCTACACACATGCCTGTACCATCGTAGACGCTTGTAGCTTCTCGACGATCGGAGGCAACCTTCATTTCTTATGATATTTTTTTCGAAACATAATCTAGCATGGTGATTCCCAGAGGCCCACCTCAACATTCTCGTGTCCATACGCCTATTTGCGTTCATCGTTGTGCGTGCACGGCAAGCATTAGATACCATAGAAGGTATCGGATGGATCATTTTACGATATATATGGGACCCATGTGCTTTCGATGTGTTCTTTTGTTGCAAGGGCTCTTGTGAGATCCACTTTGACCAAGCTGCATTGGTCCTTCTGACAAGGGGGGGTGCGAACTCGAAATGGCCTTCATAGGCAACGTCCGGGCAAAAGCTCGATTTTGAGATTTTGTGCTTATACGGCTCTATTCGCCATGCTGAATCCAAAAATCCACAATGGAAAGCGCGAAAACGGCAAAGAGGCTCTAGCGCAAGATATAAGCAGCAGGTGGGCGGGGTTTTTCCCGCTGTAAATTCACGCTCCCAGCTTGCGGAGCGGTCTTCTTGGTTCCGCTAGCCGTCCTAAAATCGCTACCGGCTAAGTGCGAATGACTGACTTGAAACCGGAAGTGAAATGATTGCTCCGGAAGCTAGGGGCGTGTCACAGTGGGGAGGACCCGCCCACCTGCTGACTTCTCTCCTGTATTAGAACCCTTTTTCGCCGTATTCGCGTTCTCCAGTGTGCATTTTCGGGTTCAGCGTAGCAAATAGACCCAGGTAAGCACCAAAAAATCGAGTTTTTGCCCGGGCACTGCTTATAAAGGCGCAGTCCGGCAGATCTGGACCTGGGCCCTAACTAAGGCATTGCCCAAGCTGCTGTGCAGGTGACTCACTAACGGCTGAGATATACGCCTCCAAACTGGACCCTAGGATTGTATTCGCATGGATTCATGGCAGTCGCGCGAGGACCAGCGCGTCGCGCCGTGAGTCATGCGAAATACTATCCTGGGGTCCATTTTCGAAGGGAATATTTCAGCCGTTAAAGCACTACCTGAGCTGCCTATCCACGTGAGATCCCCATGTGTACAGGCGTGCCTGGACGCTGTCTCTGACAACAAAATCTATGTAATTTTGTAGGTTACGATATGCGGCTTGCAAAACAGCTTTACGTATCTGCGAAGCGGTCCGTTAAGATATAAGAGTCCAATTTTGCGAAATCGCCCGGCTTAACACAAGTACGCGCGGATTGCGTCAGCACATGGTGGGTGTGGCGCAGTGGCAAGTAATTAGGCTTATAGTCTTTGACGTTTAGGTCACGGTCCGGCACGAGTTTGTTTCTAGGCCTTTAAAAACGAATTCCCTTGACTTTTGAAAACTTTACGAAGTCTCCTTTGGAATCCCTTTCCCCTTACCCTCCAAATGTCAATGGTTCAAAAGCCGGATTGGAAAGTCCGCTATAATAAAAAAGGTCCAGTTGAGATTTGAAAAACTCAGCATTTTCCAAATTTATAGATGTTATTGGAAAGTTCAAATGATATGTTACACTTCAAATGTTACAATCTTTACTAGTAATTAACACCAACTTTCCAAAAAATAGATTGCCCAAACCATTCATTAACAAGGATGAAAAAATCAGTAGCAAAACAGCTCGAAATTTGCAATCGATGTTTTCTCGATCAGTCTCAATCGTTAGTCCTTCTCAATTTCGATATTAAGCGCTGTTGTAGAAAAAACAATCATCTCCTTTTGGCAGTCGGTTGCAGGATTTCCGTTTGGGAGGGGGGGGGGGAACGAAATTTTTTTTCCAAATTAAAGTGTGTGACATAGCTACACACTCCGAAAGCATTCCTTGGGGTGCTTCTCAAATTTTCTGCACGTATGGCGGCAACCACGCCCCCAAAGGAATTTATTTTACAAAAATAATTTGAATTTTTAAAACTTCAAAAATTATTTATTATTCACAAGATTAAACAAGTCACTTGCACTATTTTATTACCCATGTAAGAAGAGTTTAGAAATATCGCGACCTATTCTCGAATTGGAAAGGGGGAGGTCACATCTTGGTCCACCACTGCCTTCATCACTGCCTTCTAGTAGTGTCAAACTGGTCATGCTCAGCAAATAAATAAATATGCTTAAATTAGGATTATGTTGTTCCGACAAGGAAAAAGGCATTACAGTGAAGGGTCCGACTGATTCTTGGTAAAACAACGTTGTTATACTATTCAAGCATATATTAGTTTGTCCCATAAGTCTTTTTATTTTTGAGTTTTCGCTGCAATAAGTGATGCACTTCTTATTCTAAATAAACGTTAGGATAGCATTCGATAGATCAAATCAAGCTCTATAAGATGATGTTTATGCTTTTGCACGAGCTTCGATCCACCTCAAGTTTAAAACCAAAACCTAAAAAGTTTCGGATGCCCAAAAAACTGAAAATTTTCTATATTTTCGTCCAAAAAAGTCCTACAAATCTATCACTTGCTCACGCATATGCACTTCGCATCAGGCACTCACATGTGTTGTTGCCGTATTTTTTCATTGGCTAAAAATCAAGAAAACGAAAAATTTCATGTTTTTGGCAAAGTGATGCTGTGTTGTTCTTACACTAGCACTAACTGTTGTATACTACAAGCCCTTAGAAGTGCAACCCTAGATTTTTAGCTCTCTGTGAACTCTAGCTCCCGAGAAATATCGAACTAAGCTTTCCTCATTCGGGCTTTTTACGCTTAACCTAGCATTTCTCGGTAACTAGAGCTCATAGAGAGCTAAAAATTTGCGGTTGTACTTCTAAAGGCTTGTAGCATACAACTTTAGTGTAAGAACAGCACAGCATCACTTTGGTAAAAACATAGAAACTTTTGTTTTCTTGTTTTCTAATTGATAAAAAAATACAGCAAAAGCACAATATGAGTGTCTGATGTAAAGTGTCTATGCGTGAGC